TAAAATCACTAAGGTAAAAATAAACTTAATTTCAGAACCAGAGGTATCACTAGGCTATAAACTCCTTGAAGACAGGAATTTTTTTAGACTGTACTGATCATTTATGGATCCTAAGTTTTTAGATAGTGAGTGGCAGAAAAATAGGTTCTCAAATATTTGTTGAATATACCCTAAAAAATACACAAATAAGAGTGAATTGTTATGTGAGGTCTTTTTAAAGGATGTGGTAAGTTAAAAGTCAACTAGAGAGATTTTGAAGATAATAAGACACATTAAAAAACAAATGTTTCATTTTAGATGCTCACATGGGTTTAGGTTTCCTTACAAATTTAGGCTATATCACCACCCAACAGAAAAGATGTGCCAACTACCTGTAATCTGCTCCTAGAGAGGCTGCAATCCCATTTAGTTCACTCTGCTTCTTACTGAGTTTTTTACTAACACATACCACTACCTGGTGAAGTGGCTTTGGAGCTTCTTCCTGTCCACGAAAAATAAAAGAAACAGATCAGCCATTATTGTTTGAAATGTTTTATCTAAAGCCTCCTTTTAATAAGAGAGCTGACCCTACCTTTTCTGACCGGGTGTCCTTCAGTTGAGGGCTGGCAGAAACAGCAACAGCATTTCGAGAGCTATTTGCCAAAGCAAGCTTCAAGTTTCTCACAATGACTTCTGAGAGTGGTGTACTCAGTTTCCTTTTCTGTTGGCTATGACCTTTTGGAGTTTCCAAGGCTGCAAGTGCATCCTATACATATGGAGGAGAGGGAAAGAGAGGGAGAAAAGAGGAGAGAAAGGAAGAGGTGGGGAGAGAAGGCAACAGGGGGCAACAGGGTAGGGAAGAAAAAAGAGAGGGGTTAAAGAGAAAGAAGGGGGATAACCTTCAAAATCAACGGATTACAGTTTAACCACCTCTGGTTTTCCTCCAAACAACAATAAAAAGAACAAACTATCATCTGTATCTATATACTGTGGGAAAAAATTCCATACTGTCCAGTATGTTGGTTCAAAGAGAATAACAAGTGTACATTTTCAGCAGTGCTTGCCACATCTTCCTGAATCTTAAAATTGAAGTTGGAAAAAAACACAGAAGGAAACAAGCAAGGATGGATATAAGCAAGATAAGGTTAAAAAGTCAGAATGACCTGAGAATTGTAAAAAAATCTTCAAAGTACAACATACATTCCCAAGCCACCCATACTTCCCTCCTGAAAGGAAGCTCCTATTGTCCAAGTGGCTTGTTCATTCTCTTTTACATCTACATATTATTCCATGTATATATCAGAATGTATTTACCCTGTGCCCTACTGATGAATATTTAGGTTAACAATCTTTTGCTAGTATAACAATGCAATGAATAACCTTGTACACACACCATATTGCACACACAAGAGTAAAGGGAACTTTGTAAGCAAAATATATCTACCAATGTTAACATTCTCATCAGCAAGGTATGAGAGTATGTGTTTTCAAACATGCTTGACAGCACAGTATGTAATCAGATTTTTCTTTTTTGCTAATCTGATAGGCTAAAAATTTTTATCTGTATGCTTTAATTTCCCATTCTCTTATACTGAATGAGGTTAAATATATTTATGCATGCATAATTTGTGACAACCATCTGTTCCTATCCTTTCCCCATTTTTCCAATGGATTGCTAGTCTTTTAAATATTCACTTGGATGAATGTATTTTTATATTACTGTGTATGACTTTATATGTACACATATCCACTGTGATGTAATATCCACATATTTGTTCATAAT